TATAAGTTTATATATGTGTATATGAGTTTTGCTTTTTAGCCAAAATACTTTGTGAATCAGAGGATCCGCAATAAACTCAGTCTTATAAATAACACCGTCTCATTGTGGATCAATCAGTTTGTTGTTGACATCCAGAACTATCTGTTCACATGACAAAGGAGGACTTTTTGCCTAGCAATTGGTCGTTAATGCCCTGATGGCTGCTTGCTATTCACAAGGTGCTGCGTGATACTAGCAATAATCATAGACATTAATACGTAGATGCCCCGTTGACTGGGTTGGCCCGCTGATGTGACATAACTGTGTGTCCGCCATATTGAATGAGTCAAAGCTGTGCTGTGAACTAATAGCTTATTTAATTCACACACACACACACACTAAAGTTAATGGGAAACAAGTACCAAAAACAATGTATTAAAGCGTCTTAGTTTAGTACAATACCTTTATTGATCCCACACATCAGTAATTCATGTTTCATCAGCTGTAAAGTAGTGCAAAACCAGTGTATATTACACTTTAATAATATATGAATAACAATAAATGTGGAGAAACCCCCCTCTGCACACAAGAAATAAACATATCTAATTTTCTTTTATTTTTTTAGCCATTTGGAGGCAACAAAAATCATTTTAAACACCACACATACACACTGTTTATGTACACATATTATTATTATTAGATATAATACCATGAGCAGACTAAAGTAATATACCAGGTTGAATGAATGAATGAAAATTAAATGAATACATTAAATGGCCAAATGAAGTGAAAAACAGGTGTCTCCCAAAACACACTGCGCAGGAATCCACTTTCCATAATGTTGACAAGTACACTCTGAAGACACTGTTATAATGGTGAAAATGATGCAGACTATGGCTGATAAACGATCAAGAGACTTGTTGAAGCAGCACACGTATGAGGCATTTTATCGTCTCCGTTTTCCTACTGACTCTACCAAGATGGCGCCGACATAGGAACACCATTCAACGTCCAACAGGGCGTCTATGTATTAATGTCTATGGCAATAACAGCATTGTAAGAGGAGGACAGTTGAACACGGAGGCCTCCACCCCGTTTAATGATGGATGGTTTCTCTGCACAAAGATGGCCTCCTTCACTCCTCTCAAACCATTGTTCCTCTGTCCAGGATGTGAACATCTTCATCCCTGAAAGAGTGACCGCTGGCCTGGAGATGAGTGTAGACCGCAGAGTCCTGGCCTGATGATGTTGATCTTCTGTGCTGGGCCATCCTTTTGGCCAGTGGCTGTTTAGTTTCCCTGATGTAAGACTGATCACAGCCCTCCTGACACTGAACAGCATACACAACATGACTCTGTTTGTGCCGGGGGACTGGATCTTTGGGATGAACCAGTCTTTGCCATATTGTATTTTGGGGGTTGATTTCTGTAAATTGTGTGTACTTGTGTGCAATTGCTAATTGTGAAATTAGTGTCTAGGTGTGCGGCTGAAAATGGAGGAAGATGGAGCTGGATGGTGATTGGCTGCCTGCCTGGAGGTGTGCTGCAAAAAAGGAGAGCTGACTATGATGACGTCGGCTTTCCATCCTCTCTGTGCATCCCAACCAGTCACAGCTAACCTGCTGTGTTTCATTATTTTTAATTCAATTTGTTTAGTTTGTGAGGAGCTTTTGTAAGGGTGAGCTGCCATTTTATTTAAGATGTTTTTTTCTCCTGTTTTTGTTTGATTTAGTTAAAGTAAGAAACCTGTATCTTGGTTAATTTTGTTTTGGTTTAGGTAAGAGAAAAATAGTAGGTAATACAGTTTATTTTGTTTGTTATTTTGGCCTGGGCTCACCCTGAATTTTGTTAAGACTCCAAGTTCGTCATCAATAATTATTCACATTGTAAATAAACTCACTCTTTAACCATATTCATTGCCTCCGTGGCTGATTGAGCCATGCAGAAGGTGAAAACACCCACTTATAATTACAACATAGCGGCTGTGTTTTGCTCCGGTTGTAACACCGGCTCTCAAAATATATTCATCATGTTACATGTTTATTTAAAAATAACTAATGCAGAGATACTGTGTACAATGAACATCCTGAGTTTAGATGTGTCCCCTTTGTGTGAATATTTTTGTTAATTAAATTTTAAACCATTCCATATCTGCCCATTTCAGTTGCTAAATGAACATTTTGTGTAGGCAGGTTACAGTTTAACAATAAGCAATAGTGTATGGTTATTAAAGTTGTTTTTCAGCATCCAAAGAAATCAGTAAAAGACATTGCATTTCATATGTTCAACATCTAAAGTAGTTAAAAATAATGAGGAGAATGAGTTAGTGCTTGTTGTTTATTTGATTCATCACAAAAGCAACAAAAGAAAAATGCACATTTACATTAGTTGTCAAGCTAGAGGCTTGTGGTAGCACAGTGGTCATTGTAGTGGTGTTTTCATTCTGAGGTTGTGGGTTTGAGCCCAGTTTGTCAGGAAGGAGATCTGATGTAAAACAATTTCCAAATAATTCATGTTTTCTTGCTGTGGCAACTCCTGCACATGATGAAGCAGTCAAAAATAAAATAAAAAATGAATCAACAGCAATTGTCTAACTAAGCAGTAAACGGTTTCAGTTGTTACATCGAGATCATTGTGGCTGGAATTACAAATTAAAGTGTTCTTGGTGGTACTTTTCCCAAAAAGTGTTTTTTTATGTTTTGTTTTGGCTTTAGTAATATAATATAACATTTTGGAGCATAAATGCAAAGCAACAAACCAAAACTGGAGGCCAGAATAGCAAATATTTCAACAACCACTGTAAACTTTCCTGGAGAGTTCACATATGCTGGGATGAAGGTAATCCACACTGCACAGAATATCAACATGCTGAATGTGATCAGTCTGGCCTCATTAAATCTGCCTGGCAGCTTTCTAGCCAGAAAAGCAAATATAAAACACAGGGCAGCAAGAAGTCCGATATAACCCAGAACAGCCCAGAAGCCAGCAGTAGAACCAAGCGCACACTCTAGAATGATTCTGTCCTTATAGTAATCCATGTTCATATGGGGAAAAGGAGGATTTTTTGTAAACCAACGTGTACAAATAAAAACCTGTATGAGGGTAAAACTGAGAATGCTAATCCTTTGCTGTGGAGGCCCAAACCATTGATTAACATTATTGCCTGGAAGTTTTGCTTTGAAGGCCAACAAAACCACTATTGCTTTCCCCAGAACGCAAGAAATACAAAGGACAAAGGTGATGCTGAAAGCTGTGTGTCGTAGCATGCAGGACCATCGAGTAGGCCGAGCAATGAAGGCCAGAGGGCACAGGAAGCAGAGTTTTAATGAAAACAGCAGCAAGAAGCTTAACTCAGAGTTGTTTGCTCTTACAAGTGGTGTCTCTTTATGTGTATAAAATATTATTGATGTAAGGAGGGATAAAAACATGCCAAAAGTGCTGAAACCAGTAAGAAGTGCCCCCATGATCTCCTTGTAGGAAAGGCATTCAATGTGTTTGGGGAGACACCTGTTTTTCATTTCATTTGGCCATAAGTCAGGAGGACAAATGCAACAGTTAGCAGAATCTGTAAGAAAAATCAAATAACATTATCATATTATTTTATTGTTCTCTTAAAGATATATAGTTACATTTTTAATATATTTGCACCAATGGGCTTTTAATGGGAAATTTAACCTCACTTGTTTCATTACTGATAGTTCCTTCGGGGCACTCAAGACAATCAAAGCAACATACAGGCTTATTCTTGTTTAATGCCTTTCGAGTACCTGGTGGACATGGTTCTCTGCAGACAGACCTTGGTACCTGAGTGGTCAAAACAAAGAATACAGCAATAAAATATACTTTAAACTGTATGGAGTTTCAGTCATCAGATATTAAAAATCACAGTTTCCCCATTGCATATAGTTACCTCATTGCTGTCATGCCCCCAAACAATCTTGGCATTTTTCTTTAATTTTAATTTCTCCTGCTCAGGTAAAGAATTGTCATATTGACCGATCTGTACTATTTCAACTGAACCATCTTCCTTAATTTGCCAGTTCACAAGGTCATACTGGGCAACTGAGTCCCTGTTTTCATCAAAGAAAACTTTGGCCCCATTCTTTGTTGTGAAGTTCACATATTTTAAGTGTTCCACCACCTTTGGGAACACAGATGAAACAAATGCTTTAAAGCTTACAAGCAAAAAAAAAATAATAATAATCTAACATGCTTTTATACGTGTCAAAACTTACAAGTTCAGGTTGAAATTGGATATTGGTCAAACAAGGTTTTGTTGTATGATTTAAGTCATTTTGACACTGCAGAATGGAATGGAGTACGACAGCCACAGAATACACAGCTTTATAAATGTTGTTCTCTTCTCTGAAACATGAAACTTCTGTGTAGTCACTAAATACTGTCTGCAGATCTTCTGCACCAGTGCACATACTGGAGGTATTTGATGGAGAGAAGTTGCAGTCAAATAATTTCTCCCAGAAACCTTTAATTATAGCACTTTGTGGTTCACTGGAGGGTTTCAAGTTAAGAAGGAATTCACCCAGACCAGGAATGGATGTGTCAGGAAGGGCAAAGCCTATTGCACCATGTAAGATGTGCTTTCGGTCAATAGAAACAAGGGTTTTATGTGTGATCCAAGACTCACTGCCAACCCACTGCTTTCCAGTTATGTTATAAGATTCAATGTTTGACAGAAATGCTTTTGCATAAGACGAGGACATAAACATCAGCACCACTTTTGATGAGGACTTCTTAAGTGCATTTGCTATAACATCAAAGTTTGCCTGAGAAGTTATAGAGTACATCAACCAGTATTCCACACATATCCCCTTGTTGTTGGCTTCTTTAACAAAAGATCTTGTACTTTCTTCTGCATACGTGCTCTCAGAATAAATAATCCCCACCCAGCGCCAGTTAAAGTACACCATGAGCTGCACAAGAGCCGTGCTTTGGGAATGCTCACTTGGCACAGTTCTGAAGAAAGTTGGGTATCGTGTTTTGTCACTCAAACATGCACAAGTAGACAAGGGACTCAGCTTGTAAATAAAAAAAAGAAGAAAAACATTAAACACAGAAATGTTGCATACATTTTTAGATTAAACAGTTGTTTTTTTTTTCTCACCTGTGGTACAGATAGAGAGCTGAGTATGGAGCTTATGATTTCACTCACTCCAGAAGATGAATGACCTATGACAGCCAGAGTCTGACCAGTACACTGCAATGAATCATTTCCATTTATCGCTTCCACAGCTGCTCGAACCAGGTTCATAGTGCCACATCCATTGTACACCCTATAACCCAGACTTACTCCAGGGAGGAGTGTAGGATCCTTGTTGATCTCCTCCACTGTAAAAATCATTGTCCTGGCAAACTTCAGCTCTCTATCATTCCAGCTGCAGTCACAAGGTAATAAACAGACAAATACATTGATGGCACAACAACTTCACAGATGAGCATTTCCTTTTAGTGAGCATGCAAACCCTTTACAATATGTTCACTTACTTTTCACAGTATGAGAATGGAACTGCCCGGTAGCTATTATCGTTCTGTTTCTCAACATTTGTCATAGAGAAAATCCCCACTATATTAAAATCACCTTCTCTGGAAAATTCAAGAAATCCTGTCTGCCCTATCAATTTGCATGTTTGATTTTCTGACTTTATCCTTGCAAGCAGGGTTAACAAGATAATGGTTAGCCAACCCATCATGAGCTACCCTCCCCTCCTACTGATGCAAAGGTGAAGAGAGCTGACATTTATAGATTTTGTTCAGCACTAAAGCAATGCTTTCCTGGTAATGAGAGTAGGCATCCTTATCAAAATATGATTCTCTTTGCATCTATCATTAAAATAAAATATATCCTCCCAACAACCAGGAAAATATATCATGTTTAGGACACTGCACAGAAGTGATAAAAAAAAAAAAAAAATTAACAACAGTTGTTTAATATGCACAGACACTAAAGTAGAGGTTGAGGTTCTGCTTAATTAAAAAATAAAAATCCCTGTTTGTGAATCCTTGGAGAAAAAATCTAAATAAATTAACACAATATAAGTCACTGTACATTTATTTATCTGTGGCCATCTTGGATTTTAACATGGCAACCCAATTTTCAATAGGGCCCTTTCTTCTGCTTAGATGTACCCAAACACCCAAATGTATAGCTGGCACTCTACTTATTTTTCAGGTTATCTACATCATAAGATGGATAGACATATTTGGTGGTAGACTTCTTGGATGTTGATGTGGCAACCTGATTTTTGATAGGAACCTTCTTTTATCTAGATCAGGGTTCTGCAAATTTTACAATCAAAAAAGCCATTTTTACGCCTTTGTTCACTACATTAAGTTTATCCAGAGCTGCAACAACCTGCTACAACTGTGAATATAAACTGGTGGCACATGGGCCACTTTAAGTTTGTTGGGGGAGGCTTTGTGTAAGTAAGCAAGTAAGGGTGACACAATAAAGTTAAAAATATCTAATGATTTCTAACATTTATTGATATTTTTTACAACTTAAGACACATTAAAAGACCAGATTATTGTAAAGAGGGGTGGGAATAATTATATATACAAAAAGTATATATATATATGCACATCACGTGGCGTCTCTGGGCAGCACGTCTAATCCCCAAAATGTCCCCCGGGCGCTTTCAATAGCTGCCCACTGCACCACCTGGTGGTGGATGGGTTAAATGCAGAGACTAATTTCGCCATTGTATGGAAACATACAGTGCTGACATTGTGATGACATTATTATTATTATTATTATATATGTGTATATATTTAATTTAAATTTTTTTTTTTCCTGCTATTCTACGGTGGAACGAGACGTGTTTTTTCCTCTCAGGCACTCAAGCACAGCTGGCAGGTAGATGAGAATGCGTCCACAGAACATCCTTTCAACTCATTTGAGATTTGGGGCTGTAGTTGAGATATTATTTGAGCTTTTGAGATGTTAATCAGCTGTTGCTGGTTGTAGAAAACTGCCTTGTTGCCATGGTTACGCATTACAACAAATGTCCAAAACTAAAACAAGTTTCAGTAAAAATCCTTCCAGCTGCACAGCATCTGATACCAGAGGAAACAACAATTCAAAAAATGTGATTTACATCCAGAAAAAGATGAATTACAGTTTCCAAAAGCAAAATCTCAGAATGAAAGTAACATACCTGCTCCAAACATGCAGCCACCTTGAGCAATATATATATATATATATATATATATATACATCTATATATATATATATATATATATATATACACACACACACACACGCACCTGCATATTTGAATGTTAAGTACATCTGCTTCCTGACAGTTATTGTGTTTTCATTAAACTATCAAATGCATTTTTTTATGCACATGTAATAACAATCTATTGGAGTTGTGAGACAAGACCTGTTTGTGGAAAAGTATTTTTATTGTTGAGGAAGAAAAGATCACACTCAATTATTCAAACATTCACATGATCCTAAACGTGTCTTATTTTAAAATTGATGAATAAATAATGAACATGTGTTAAATCTTCAAACTACAATTCTTTTTTTTTTTTTTTTTTTTTTTTTTTTTTTTTT